GCCTTTCACTGCAGCAGCTACAGTTATGGGAAAATGAAACTAGGAAAGAGAAAGAGGGACAAGAACTTAGTTAACGCGTAGAGTGATCGCACTTAAACCGTGCAACTGTACAAAATCTAAGTAGTATTAATTTGTACTAAAAGTGGAACTGAAACAAGACGGTATTGAATGCTTCATTTGTAGCAATTCAATTTACATGCACGATTTGCTAAATACAACTAAATAGAACTATTTAGTTTGTACAGTTGCACGCATTAAGTGCGATCACTCTAACAGAAAATCACAAAACCCAGTCACAAAACCCAGTCACAAAACCCAGTCACAAAACCCAGTCACAAAACCCACAAAACCCAGTGCATCGATCGGTTTTCTTGACATCAATACCAGCCAGTACTACCTATAATAGAGCAAGCGAAGAAAAACCATGAAATAAAATCAAACTAATAAAAAGCGGCTATTTAGAGATATTTTGCCAGTATCAATGAACGAGAACATAATGAAGATGAATCAACTTGGGACCATTTTTAATTCATCTTGATTGCATTCTGGTTCATTGATACTCACAATTTGTCTCTAAATAGCCGCAATTTGTTAGTATTTAGTTTGATTTTTTTCTCATGGTTTTCCTGCGGTTGCTCTAATACGAGTATCATTGACACATCATAACAAGGGCGTCCAAAATGAGCACTGATTTGAGAGATTGATATGATTGGTTTACTTACCTTGTAAGTAATCCCACGTTGGAGCTAAAGGGACATTAAAAGAGTATATTATTTAGGATATTACATGGGCGCGCGAAGATACGGATTTTATCTTCGAGTGTTGAAAAGTTTTCCCACGAGTGAGCGTAGCGAGGGAGTGAAAGATTTTCAACACGAGAAGATAAAATGCGTATCTCCAAGCGAACATGTAATATCCTATTTATCATATAATTGTATATGAAAGCAAATTATGTCGTAAAATACCTTTATTTCTTACATCCACTATATAGAGAAACCTCGAATGCGTTATTTTCACTAGTGAAAATAACAACTTTGCGTAATGGAGAAATTTAGGAAGTTTATAGGGGTTTATAGATAATTATATGATAAATATGGATATTAGGGTAGGTGGGTCAGAATTATTGTAAATAGCTGTAATTGTTATAATTACAATAATATGACCCTTAGGTGAAAGTTACAAATAAGCGTTCTTGAAATAAGTGCCGTTTTTT